TGACAGAGCTTTTTCCTCATAAACTGCCTCACGGTGTCCTGCCACGAGCTGCTCCGTGCTCTGGATCCACCATGTGCTCTGGGGCACTGGGCACCAAAGGAACTGTTACTGGCCAAACAGCCCCCACTGAACGGCAGGAACAGGGAAAAGTAACGGGGTTCTTATCAGTGTTTAACCGCTGGCAGCTCTGTGGTTTCATGAACTTGCCATTGCTGCAACAGCTATTTTAGGCAAATGATCACCTCAGAGATCATCACAAAAATTTCCCTCATCACCAAAGAAGGATATTAAGGCAGCTAAAGCCAAAATTGCAAACTTGGTCTCAATTCTAGCGAAGAGCCTCTGTCCAAGGCAGGGCTCTTGCTGCCTAAATCACTCATGCTTCTGTACCTTCCTCAGGCCATTCCCAAATGCAATTTCCTTGCTTTCCTCCTTACCCACCATGCTCGTTAAATTGCTTCCAGTTAATTGGTAATCAAGGTCAGGAAGCTGGGAGAAGCCTGAAGGTTGGTGGTAAGCACACGTCTCTTACAGTAGTAGCTCTTCCAAACTCGGAGGGTGCCCAGCAGCCCTCAGGAGCTGCACGTGCCATCCTGTGACTGCAGCAAGGGCACAGCTGCAGCACAGCTCTCGAGCACGCAGGGATGCTGCAAAACACGTCATGGCGAGGGGGGAAGCAAAGAGAGCAAACAGGAACTCGGGCTCTGCTCTCTCACAGCGACGTCCAGGCTGCAGCGCTTGGGCAAGAAAGGTGAGCACGGGATCTCACCCCTGCCATTCCAGCCCCAGAGAGCCTCTCACCCCTGGCAGGGTGACCACAGCTGCAGTGGCCTTTCTCTGCCCTGCCTTGGCCTGAGTGCAGGACTCTGATGGGGGGGATGGACAGGGAGCAGGAAAGGACTCACAGTTCCGAGCACTGAGTTCCAGAAGGCTCCAAGGCCCCCCGTGGAACAGGCAGGGCTGGGGCTGGGACCCGGCTCTCAGATCTTTGTGTTGGCACAGAAGTAGCACAACTGTGTGGAATGGGTAATGCCAAAGGCATCTTTAGGGCCAGGAAGGGATTCCGAGATCCTCATATCCAAGTTGGGAAACAGCAGCCCCCGGAAGCCCACACTGCGACACCCACGAGTTCCTGCTGCCAAAGGGATCTGGAACAAGCTAAAGATACACCAGGGGCCCTCCCAAGCTCTTCACTTACCCACTCCCAGCAGCTTTGTCAGCTGCAAGGACTGGTGCAACTGCAAGTGGAAGAGGGGAGAAAGCAAGGCAACCTCGCCCAGAAAAAGGGATGTACGACCCAATCCCTGGGAATGAGGGAAAGCTCCACCAAGGTGCAGCACTATTACAGGGAGCTGCACGAGGCTGTTTCTCCTGGCCAAGTACCTGACCTACACTGACAAGCACCACAGTGTTACACCCTCCCAGGCTGCGCCACGGGTCTGTTCTCTAGCAGGTTTTTTTAATTCTGTTTCTAAAGCCCATCTTACTTACCCAAAAAGGTGGCTCCATACTGTCCTGAGGACAGTTTGCCAAATTCACAGCCTGATATCCCCAAATTTCTGTGGTGCACATCTGTTACACATCTGCCCAGAGCAGCAGCTCCAGCTCTGCGCTCTCCTCAGCAAACAGGTCTCGTTTCCTGTGCTGGTTTTCCTCTCTGGCAACACCTATGCTGGTGTTACCTAAACCAACTCCTCTCTCATTTCTCCTCTGCTTCCTTCTCATCCTTCTTTCTGATATTCCCAGAGTTTCTCCTCAGCTGCCATTCTCCAGGGCTCCTGTTACAGCGAGACACACTTGTGGTCTCCTTCCCCTGCCCCCAAGCCCCAGCCCCGCTGTTCCTCTGCTGACACCAGCTTTCATCTCTTCACAGCAGCAGGACTGCACTGCATTTCCTCTGGGAGCCATGTCCTGTGTGCTGTTGGATGCCTGGTACTCCACAAGCTCACACGCTTCAACACGTGTACCAAAAGAGAACGTCACAAAGCAGCTGTTAGAGGCAGCAGGGGATAAACCATTCCAATGCAATTAAATAAAAGTAATTTTGGCAGGGATTTCCACTGCAGTGGTGGTATATGAAATAAGCTGGGGCAGCGGACTTGTGGATAAACAGCCTTTGTCCCTGAGAACAAGGATCTGCTGTGGCTGCACCGACACTGGTTAAAGAAAAAAGACAATGAGAAGAAGCTACTTTCAAACAAGACCAGGAAGAGGCAAAGGCAGCTCACTGATTTTATTTTAAAGCGTTAGATGTGCTTCTGTGAATAATGACAGACTGGTAAACACAACCACACACACAACCAGCAGCTGATGTCCAGGCAGCTGACAGGGCCCCAGCCCAGAGCAGGGGCTGATCCCCGGGGGGCTCACAGGGAGCCCCTGATGTTGGGTTCCAAACACTCTCCCTCAGAACCAGCACTGTGCCTGCCTGGAAGCAGCAAGAAGTGAAAGCACCTAATCTATTTGCTTTTCCAAGCTAAATATAGGACAAAGGAGTGAAAGGCACAGATGGTGAAAGCTCCGCAACTTTTGAGATTCTCCTGCTCTAGGAATTTAAGCTGCTAAAGCACACACAGGCTGAGCCTTCCCAAATACCTCCACAAGGGAGCAAAGCCCAGCTGTACCATCGCCACCGGGTCACACACGTGACACGGGATCACACCTCATTCACAGCTCCCTGATCCTGCTGCCCCTCTCCTGACTGCTCCTTGCAAATCTCCACGGAGAGAAGGAACAAAAACACACCCCGTGGGGAATCGACTTCAAATGGAGACACAACAAGAGGAACAATGAATTATTTCATATGCAAATGTGAGCACAAAATAAAGGTAGATTAATGATTCAGTAGCAAAATTCTTCCAGGCAAATGAGCATGGCTGAAAGAAAACCCAAAGGGAGGGTGAAGCCGAGGTATTTAGAGGAAACAAAACCAGAACGGAAAAAACTTCATCTTTTTATACACCATTAAACTGTTTTCGAACTGCATTTCTGCAAAACATCCACAATCCTTGTGCAAGAGAGGGGCAAGATCAGACCAAGCACCCGAAAGCCAAAGTCCAAGTAGGTAAACAGGTAGAGCTGCAGAATGTTTTGGGACTCTCTGTCCTCCTTGGAACGGCCCAAAGGAGACACAGGTGAACATTATCAGGCCTGATTGGAGGGGAAAAGGGGCACTTTGGGGCAGGAAAGTGCTGTAACAGTGCAAGGTAAGGGAGACCAACAATCAAAATTAAGGAAAAGCACCAGCAAAAGTGTATTTACGTACAGAAAGAGAATTGTCCATGAGAACAACACACGCAGGAGCAGCACCCAGGGATAAAGCCAAGCTCTGTTCCATTGTCCATTACAAACTGCTCTCACCCACCTCTCCATGGTATAAACACTTCACTGCCTCCTGACCAGGAGGATGAATCTGCACTGAGTGTGACACGCTGGTGTGAGGTGGAATGAGACAAAACTCGGAGATGTGGGATGTCCAAATCCCAAACCCAATGCAGAATTCCATTTAAACCAGCACCCAGAGCAACTCCATCACTCTGTCCAGGACAGTGCCAAGGGAGCTGGAGCACCGAGCAACTGGTGACTCCGAGCACACAGACCCTGCACTGAGCCCACGGTGTGCAGGGACAGTGTGGGGCTCCAGGCACCCCCAGGACTCAGCTCCAGCCCCAGAGGGTCGGGATCCGCGGGTCTCGCTCCAGCCCTGAA